CACAACTTAAGAACAAATCTGTGCGTACCAACGGTTCTTTCATGAGGCCCATTGTCAAAGATGAAAATAAAATTAATCCAGGCATCTCTGTTCTCTGTGGCTGCTGTAAAAACAGCMCADYTATCGTCCCTTGAGGAAGTGGGCGGAGCTTCACCTCGAGTTGCCTCGTGAGGAGCAGGACTCTGGTTTAAGTTGCTATATGACTGTTACTTTGAYGTCAGAATAACGTGCTTTGAGAAATACCATGTTTCCAGATACCTAAAAATACCTGTAATTACAGCTAAAAAACAGCTGGGTGCATTTTTTGGTGTTTGGACTGCTTCTCTAAGCAGTAGAGACCCAAAAATAAGTTTAAAAACATGAAAAAAGTGAGTTTTGCATAATTGGCCCACTTTAASTTTAGGGTCTGTGGTCAGGGATAGGTTGTATAAGGCTAATAGAAGTTAAATTTAGGGTCTGGGATGGTTAGTTTTGCGCATTTCCTATTCTTGTAAAAAAATATGAGAACACGCTCGTCCTCCTCCGCCTCATCTYGTAAAGAAAGGACGCGCGGGGGGCGGGGCTACCCGGTGCATCCGAATGTGGACGCAGACGGCTACCTGACCACGCGTCAATATGTTGACGCGGGGGGAGTGAGAATGCGTTGGTTTGGAAGTCSGAGGGGGGCGGGGTGTGAAGCGCCTTGTCAACGAGTTGATCTGAGACACACCCCAGAAAAGGGGCGGGGCTTGTAGAGGAATTCTAAGCAAAGCATTGTAGTTCAACGTTATATAGACCCAAACTGAAGGATTTAAATGTGAAAAAGGAAAATGTTTCACTTGAAACAAAAAAAAGAAAGAAAAGAATAAAACTCTGAAGTGATTCTGCACTGATTTTATGACGTTTTCTCCGTGCATAATWGAATTTCAGCTTGAATTTCGGAATATACATACAGAGTGTGTTCAATGTTTAAAATAAAATAAAAAACAAACCCATGTGACTCTTTGGGTGATAATAGTATTAGATTTATTTTACAGCTCCATCTAAGGATTCAAAAGGTCACAAACAGCTATTTCCTGTTTGCTAAAAATATACTATTTTATTCACCGTTCATGCTAAATTATGTATATTTTTACTATTTTTCTAGGAGAATTTTAATAAAATTAGCCTTCCATGAATATTTTTAACAATCATTTAATCTTTACATTGCTCTATCCATTGTCACAACTGTTTTCTAGACATTTTATTACTTCAAATCCAGACAAACCCTTTAAACAACCTGTTTTGCATTTGTGCTGTTAAATGAGATGTTCTTTCTGTCAAAAAGCAGCAGCAGTGAGTTCTGTCTGTTGTTTTCCAGGCTGTGTGTGTTTTGTTGCTCAGTTTTCTGTGTGTCAGACAGTCGCTGACTTCTTTTTGACGGACAGCTCGACTCAGTTTTTCTAAAACAGCAGCGCAGCAAGAGGCCGAGACTTCGCTGGGTCTTTGTCACCAACAAGAACTGAGCCCAAGTTCTGTTTTTAACAGATGGGATGAGAAATTCAGTCAGATTTATAAACTGCAGGAGCAACAGAATTATTCACAGCTTGTTAATTTACTGATTATATCTGATATTTTCCTCCCCGTTAATAAATGAAGAATAACTCTGAATAAAATAAAACTAAATGATTAGGCTGTATTGTATGAAAAGTCAAAGTCAAGCAGAAAATCTTCACATATTTAATAAAAACTACTTTTTAAACATTATTTAAGATTGTTTCAAAATCTTAATGTCGTTTTAAAAACCCAACTTCTCCCACATTCTGCCTCARTCAGTTCAGATTTTATGTTTTTCACCCTTAACAGGAAAATGAATCTAATTTAGGAGCTTGGCATGTTAATTATGCTGAACAAGACTGATGGTTTTATTTAAAGTTCAAAGATATGCATGAATTAAACCAAGCATTTATAACAGATGATTGCTTCCTTGATGATGTGTCCACATGCATCAGAAGATCCATGTAGAAACCAGTTAAAGGTGTAGGCTATAACCTA